CAGCAGCAACAGCAATAGCAACAGCTTCAGGAAGCCTCCCCGCACGTTCCATTAGTGGGTGAAAAATTCACCGTTTCGACAATACTGTGAAAATACAGTGAACAAGTTTCAGGACAATTATAACCATCTTAAAAACTGCGCATTCAATAAACAAAAAAATGTATTATTATAATGTAATAATAATAATTATCACTCCAATTATGCCATTTCAGAAGCGCAAATGCATTTAAAAACAACTATTTATATTGCATTCTTGAATAATTTAATTTGTGTGCAGATCTCTCAACATACTAACTCATATTTCCAGATATTCCGATAGCTTAATTTTAGAAATTGTGTTTAGTTTGTTCAATGCCGACTCAGTCGTTTCCAAAATCCACACTTTCATCCAAACAGACGCTCTGTCAGTCTGACTATATCATTTTCTTTCGTCATGCTGATTAGAAATATACTTGTATATAGTTTACGGGTTAGGAAATACTTTTTTCTCCCTCTTACATACTTTGCACAAACTCAACTCCTTTCGAGTACAGGGCAAAAGTTGGAGAGCGAAAACTAATTGGCTGGGAACTTTGGGAGCTACAACTTCTTACAGCAAACAATTAAAAATCTTAAACAAAGATCCAAGTAAATCGAATATTAAATACATCCGTTTCTTTAGCGTCTAAATGCAAATTCTATGATCGCTATTGTAATAATCAAATTATTAATTTTAACAAATAATTAGAAAACCATGAATGAACAAATTGGAATTTTGATTGATCCACAATTGGTTATACTTGTATTTCAGAATCTCTGCTTGCCATTGAGGTTCCCAACTTAAGTCTGACCGAAAATACTAAGAACTACCTGCAATCTTGCATTCCAGTACTTACTGTATTTCTATTGGGGTGGTCGCTGTCTGTCTGCTTGAGTGTTGGACACGTCGAGCTACAGCCACCCAGCACACACTCCCGCACACACACACACACACACACACATACACGGGACACAGGACGTCGATACTGTTGTCGCCAAAATAAATACATATACCATCATATGTATACATATAGTATGTATGTCTGCATGCAACTAACCCTCGACTATAGAAAGTTAAGGCACGCCACCCAGACATTTGGCCGCCTGACTGAATAATCTGGCTATGAATGGCTGCATTTTTAGCTGCCGTGCCATTATGGTTTTCGCTGTTGTTGTTGGGTATTGGGGCACGTTGTCTGGCACAGACATATCCATTCAATTGGCCATGTTGCCAACTGCTCCCTTGAGTTTCCTAACACTGATCAAAAGGAACGGCGCATCGCTGCCTACCTCTTTCACCTTTTTTTGGGTGAACGGGGTACCGTACCAGAGGATAGGGTCGGTCGCGGCGGTAGCAGCCGCCTATTCCGCAGTAACGGCAGCTGTCGCACCCACTATCTATTTGTATATTTTTAGATTCTAGGTCTTCTTTCTTTTTTTCTCTAATAAGTTTTCTAATTTGCTCTCACATTTGCGTGTTCTTTTTTTTCTGTTTTGGAAACCATTAATTTTCTACCCAATTTGCAGAATCACTCACAATGAGTTAATTGAATTGTTGGTTCTAAGGCGTTCCTATGGCGCCAGCAGATTACAGACTATAACGGAACTAAAAGATAGAAGGTAGCAGAGCTCCAGCATAGTGTGGCCATTAAGATTTGCAAGAAACAAAACTTGCGAGAGGATACAAGTTCATATATACATATATCTTATGTTTATATATGGTTTATCTTCTAGACGTTGTAGATAGACAAAAATGGGAGATAATTTTTTTTAACTATTTAAATATCAAGTAATATTAATATTTATTTAATCAGTCTTTCGAACCTGATTCTTCCTCTCTGCCAATCATTAAACTCAGAAAAATTGACAATACATACCACATTTCGATACAATGTCGAAAAAGCAATAAGAGTGATTTCTGCTCTGATCCTTTTTTGAAACTGCACAAATTGTTAGGTAATTTTGAGGCAGAAACTATATACTTGTACTTTTGATGCAATATCTTCAAAAACAAACAAATTAGTTTAGAAAGAGTGATTGTTCCTTTGTAAACTATATAATCAAGGTAGGTGCAGCTAATGTGGTATAGGTATATATACATACATATATACAAATACCTGCCAAGTTTGGTATGCTAATCTAAAATTTCTCGAACGGTCATGGCAGTATTCATTCCGTCATGCTGATCATATAGGTAGGTATATACTTTTGCATATGAGATGAAGTCTGCCTTAGCCCCTTCTACATACTACTTACATCCTACAAGCAATCGGATTGAGCTTCGTTCGTCATGGCTATTTATGTGGTCCAACATGAATGAATGACAACGTTGGGTGTGGCTGGCCCAAGTCGCCTAACTTTGAACTACATTCTGAAATTTGCTTTTTATGTTTTTATTATGCTTGCTCTCTACGTTTTGGCAAAATTACAAATTAAATAGTAAAAGCAGGCATCAGACCCATCAGTCCATCCACACACACACACACACACACACACACACACACACACAGTAAATAAATGCATACATACATAGTACTTGCATATATGTAAGAAAATATGCATGTATGTATGTGTTTTCATATGTGGTTTAGTTATTTCAAAAAGTGTGTACTACAATGTTCAGAAATATTCATGCCGCAATTTGTTGCTGGCGGCAGCGCTGCAACTCGACGCTGCTCAGTCAACGGGACGACAGCGCGTCTTTATTATTGTTGTAGTTGTTGTTGTTGTTGCCGTTCCTGTTCAGCCCTTTATGCTGCGCTTAAGTCGCAGATGTGGTTGAGAAAAGTTTTGCACATTGACGGACGGACGGACGAACGGAACGGAACGGCTTGGTGGGGAAGTTTTGAAAGTTAAAAAAGTTGCGCTGCTACGGTCTTCGGTTTTTGGTTTCACTGACTGGCTTGCAATGTAATTGTTGTTGTTGTTGTTGTTTTTTTACTCTTTACGCTGATTCTTGCATTTTGGCTTTAACGTAGAAGGCCTTTTAACTAATTTAATATCTGGGTCTCTGCATAAAAATATTGCTTTATTATGCATTTTCGTTCGATCGATGTTGCAATCAAGTATGACCCCAAAATTATTTTCTAAAACCTTGCCGAAGCCCCATACCCTTCATTGCTTTAAGAACATATCATTTACGGGCCAGACTTTCTGCAACTGATTCCATATTTAGCCTCGCAGGTAAAAAGGGAATAGTACCGGCAAAACATATTTTGAATGGAGCCCTAAGTTATTGGAGCAGTTATAAAATATTGTCTAAGATGTTCAACACTTTAAACTATCTTTTCCAGACGATTTTAATAGACCAATTAAACATCCATTAAAAATTAAAAATACATTTTCGAAATGTTCATAAAAAATTGCTCTTTTAAGAAATCCGTTAAAAGATTTCTCTTTTATTACAGAAGGGAAAGAAGGGCCAACGTTCAGTCAGGTAACATTTAAACTATAAGTACATCTTTTAAAACATGTTTAAGAGTTATATTTGTAATCCTTTTGTGAAATTATATCGTCAATGAACTTACGTTTGTATATACATATACATATGTATGCATATACTGTGTAAGTATGTACATATATTTATTTAGCGTGGCCTAAAAGAAAACCGCAAAGGCACCAAACTTGTTTAAAACATGCACACACACACACACACACACACACACATAAGTGCATATGTATGTATATTGTAGATACAATGCATATGTATGTATGTATGTATGCACATACAAAAGTTTCACATTTTCGATTTTTGTGTTTTTTGCGCTAAAGTTATGATTTTTTAGCTTAATACTTGTTATCACTTTCTCGCACACACACACAGACACACACAACAAACACACGACCATCTATCTTTAGAGATGTGGATGGGGCGAGGGGCTTGAGCAAGAGATGCTGGCACGGTATTTGCGGCTGTACTGTTATGCAGAAATTTCACTGTGCAGTTGGTTTGTTGTTATTGCGGTTTACCGAGCAACTGTGCGTTTGGCTGTGTCTGTGTGTGACCGTGTAGGAGTTTAGACTTAATGAACTTTCACGCTGCTGCAACTTCGATGCTGCACATGCATACACACACACACACACACAAATACAAAAACACTTGCTCGCTCGCATAGAGCAGTGGGCGTCCTTGTCAGCTATTTACCGGTAGCCTCCCGGCAACAACAATAAATAAACCAACAACAACAAGAAGCACACGTTGATAGCTACGTGGGCGACGACGACGCACATTCAGGTAACTGTAACCTTAATCCCGGCCACTCTGACGGATTTACTTGCTGTTGGATGTTGGGGAATTTTTTTTTTTTTTTTATTTTGTTGGTCGATCGATAAAATAAAATTTTGTTCCACTGACACAAAAACAACAAAAATAAACAGAAACAACAACAATGCTGCACAGACTACACGTCACAGGCACTTGCTGCTGCGTCTCCGCACGCTTGCTCGCACTCTCTCATTCGGACTCCTTCGCTCATTCATCCCAGTTGTTGTTTGTGCTAAAGCTATTATTGCCATTAAATTTAGTTTGTTTTACAGTTACACCTTCGTCCCTATGCTTGTTCTGCCCTCCACATCAACACACACACACACACATACATACATATCACTACCATTCTTTCTGTTTCTGCTCTTCTGCTTTTGGCTGTTTGTTTGGTCTGCGCTTTGGCTTTTGCCAACATTTTATGCAGCACACACATGTATGTATGTATGTATGTATATATGTTTGTATGTATGTACTTATTTACTTTACTGTGTTGCGCTATTTTCAGTTCTATTTGATTATTTTGGTATCTATCTATGAAACAAGGAAAACAACGATTGCAATAGTAGCAGCAGCATCAAGCAAAAGTGCTTGTTTCAAAGAAATAGGAAATCGCTGCCGCTCCATCTCTTGCTGTTGTTGTTGTTTTTATGGATTTCCACTTATATTTTGCGTACGAATACACGACGAGTTTAACTGAATGGCATCTACTTTTTTTTACCTTTTTGGTTTACGCGCGTTACCGTTAATCCATGACTTTGACTTCGACGCAGTCTGCACTGATTAGAAATTGTCTATTATTGAGCTAGACTTATTGGTTTAAATGCCATTGTTATGCTGCTGCGCGCGCCTTCACCTAAAATGCAAATTTAGCCAGTCCACTTTTCAAAAAATATCGAATTAACGCAACGACTCTTCATGGATGGTTTGGTTGTTGTTGGTGAGACGCGCAACAACAACATTAAGTCATAATCCCCACTCAACACGAACCGCGCGCAAAGCAAGCTTTTCTGGCACTAAATTAAGCATTCCTACTGATTAGACTTGGACCGCGTCGACCGTACTGTGCAGTGTGCGGTGATGGTTCGGAAAATCATCGACGCTGTGAAAATATCGATATATACCAAATATCGATGGCATTCACGCTCATATTATGGATACAAGTAAGAGGTAAGCAAAATTATTACTAGCGCCACCTGTTGACAGATAGATAATTGTATACCTTCGTTTTACCATTAACATTCATGGTAACTGCCTAGTTGTCCTAAGCAAAATAAAATTATTTAATGACTTATATAATAACATATTTAATGGCTGGTTATACCTCATTGAATGATGAAATTTCTTGCCAGTTTAATCCAATCCCCTAATTTAAGATTTTGTTTTTCTTAAATTTAAAACCTTTATTTTGTTATATGTATGTCAACATTCTCAATACTTTATACAGAATCTAAAAAATATTACAATAATATATACTTGTAAGACGTTCGACCCAAAAATATAAATAAAATGGGGAAACTTAATTCGAATTAATAGCGAATTATTTTAATTACCGAAGACGTCATTTCATTTGTAGGAAAATAATTCTGTTAGGATAGAGGAGAAAATACATTATAATGCGAACACAAAACCCAAAAAAGATTGCCCGAAGCAAAGCACCAGAAAAGTTAACCATCTGAACTTTTCCGTTAATGGGGTCTACATTGCTAATAATCAACTTATGAAGATAAACGGGACAAGGGACAGCTCTAAGGATTACTTATGACGGCGGCATACTAGAGACGCGTACGGATATTTAGTTGCATAAGAATTGTTGAATCCTTTCCGCCAACGTTTAAGTATTCCCATAGCCATAGTTACAGTAATTGAGATGTAAAGTTTAAGTTGAATTTTGGATCAAAAAGTGTCCCAATTGTCAATTGCTTAAGTCCAATACACCGTAAAGAATTACAACAAACACAAATGTATTAATTTAAAAAAAAAAGTTCCCGGTTAACGAGGCCCATACAGGTGCAGGTCAATATAAAAAAGAGCAAAATAAATAAATAAAATGTGTCGCAAGCCACTGAATCAAAAGAATCACTATTAAAAAAATATATTTAAAAAATAAGAACATAAACTTCAGAAAAACTACATGTTACCTTAACGAACAAAACTATAATGACTATAGTCGAGTTGTTCCTTTGAATTTATACTTTTCCAGATCAGCTAAAAAAAATTCGTGCAACGACTACTTGACAAAATCAACCCTGCAGCCAGCATTGTCGATAATAGCATGTTCTAAGGTATCGATAGTTGCACTTGATTTTCAGCTCTTACCACCGCCTCGTATTGAATTGCATTTCGGGGGCAAAATGTGGAAAACTTTATTAATTGCCTTGGTTTTAGCCACACATAATTGCAATGCTGTACTCGAAACGGATGCAAATACTTTGGTTCTACTTGATAATCTAGCCATACGCGAGACTCACTCGCTTTTCTTTAAATCATTGCATGGTAAGTGACAGAGACAGCGGCGCCGGCAGAAAAGGTCTGTGATGTGACGTGTACAAAATGAATTTTCAGATCGCGGCTTTAAAATCACATACAAGTTAGCCGATGATGCCGGCCTTTTGCTCTCCCGCTATGGCGAATATCTGTACAAGAATGTTATCATCTTTGCGCCCAGCGTCGTAGAGTTTGGCGGTGACGTCAGTGTGGAGCGCTTGTCACAGTTCGTCGACGATGGCGGCAATGTGTTAGTGGCTGGTAGCGAAAAATCGGGCGATGCCTTGCGTGAATTTGCCTCCGAGTGTGGGTTTGAATTGGACGAAGAGAATGCAGCGGTGATTGATCATTTGCACTACGATGTGAGCGATGCAGGAGCCCATACCACCATCTTGACCTCGGCACAGAACTTAATTGATGCGGCTACTATTGTTGGAAAACAGAATCGCAATCAGGACGCTGCTCCTCTGCTATATCGTGGGACTGGACTCATTGCAGACAAGGAGAATCCGTTGGTGCTCAAATTGCTTACGGCCGAGAGTAGCGCATATAGCTACAATCCCGATGCGACCACTGTCAGCGAGTACCCACATGCAGTGGGCCGTGGCACGCTGCTAATTGCCGCACTCCAGGCACGGAACAATGCACGTGTGGTATTTTCCGGTTCGTTGCACTTTTTCGCCGACGAGGCGTTCACTACGGCGGTTCAGTATGCCCAAAGCGGCGTCTTTCACAAACAGTCTGGCAATCGGGCCGTTGCTGAGGCTATTAGCCAGTGGGTATTCGGAGAAAGTGGACGTTTGCGTGTCGCATCAGTGCAGCACAACAAGGAAGGCGAACGCAATCCTCCTGAACAGGCATACACCATTACCGATCCCGTTGTATACACAATTGGCATTGAGGAGCTGGTGCAGGATACGTGGCAACCATTCAAGGCCAACGATATACAGCTAGAATTTGTGCGAATTGATCCTTTTGTGCGTACATTCCTTAAACAGAAATCGAACGGCTTGTATGAAGCCAAATTCAAGATTCCCGATGTCTACGGCGTTTATCAGTTCAAAGTGAACTATGACCGCGTCGGCTACACGCATCTCTACAGCACAACACAGGTCTCGGTCCGCCCATTGGAACACACACAGTACGAACGCTTTATTCCAAGCGCCTTCCCATATTATACCAGCGCATTTTCAATGATGATTGGCGTGTTTGTGTTCTCCTTTGTATTCCTGCACTTCAAGGATGAGGCCACCAGCGCGGGCAAGCCAAATAAAGACGATAAGAAGACGCAATAGAATATAAAATTTTTTGTGTACACAACACATCATTTGAAATAGCATCAATAAAGTCGTTTGATATATCAAATAGCAGTTTGCATTTTTACACCCTCTATTGAAGAGCTGACTTCACAAATTTTCTGTATGTATTTATTTATTTGTAAATATCGCAATATAACATCTATATAGCCATGATCATCTGTCCATTTCTAAAAACAATCAGATGTTACAATTTATATTCCAAAGAGTTTATAAAAAGAGGTTGATTGTTATAAGCTGATAAATAAAAACGCTGAGAACAACTGCAAGCATGAAATGAATTCTTATTTATATATACTTTTTGAACAAATAAGGTACTAGTATAAATGCCGCCTTTTAAGTTATTGATATCGATTGTTATTATTTCGATTGCAGCACTGGGCAAAGAAGTGGCCAGATATTTGTCGTTGTAGACAATGATTATATTTGTTGTTACGAGTAGCCCCATACACAGGGTTAATTTCAAGAAAAGCTTTAATTATCTTTTGAAAACGACATTCGAGTGCTTTTATGCAGTTGTCTAAAGTTTCAAACAGTTCCTCATACTTTAAAAGAAGCAACACCCACAAGTGGCAGCGCCAGCAAATAGTTCACCCACTAGATATCGTTATCGTTTCTGACGCGCTCATTGTGAAACTTTTTCTCACGGGGAGCAGTTGTGTTCTAGAGAGTTCATAAATACGTAAATAATTGTAAACTTTTTCGCTTAATTAAGTGAACGGTGAGTGATTTTATTACATATAATTCTTATATGTTTAAGTGCGTTTTGGTGAAAATTGGTGAAAGCTTGGTTGATGTTCTACTTGTGTCTTGGTTGAAAAAAAAAAATTGTTTTCATTTTGTGTTGTGGTGCTCCGCCGGCCGCCAGCGGAGCACCAACTTTTTTTTAATGGATACACACAAAGCGCGACGGCGAAGACTTCGTTTTGTACGAATCGATGTGCACGGGCATAGGTATTGTTGTACAGTGTGGTGTGGTGTACTTTTAGATTTGGGGTACAACTTTTTGTGTGAGTTGAATTTTCAAGATGGCGGACGTTAGGAAAAAACAATAACAATTGCAAATGTTTATAAATTTGCCATGGTGTTTTTGACTTCTTGTGTTTGTATTAGTAAAAAAAAAAGGCGCGTAAATATTTACGTTGATTACAAATGTATTTTTTCATAAATTTTTTGGAGCTTCTGGGGGCTTATGTTTTTTTTATTTGTAGCGCAATTGTGTGAGTGTGTCTATTCGCACACACACATAAATCAATTGTGACACATGCGCAACACCGTGCACACACATCCATAAAGATTGTACATGTATGGATTTTATATACATGTACATTTTTCTAGTTACTTTGTCATCCAAAGCAAAGGAGTTGCAGCGACTTTTACCTTTCCTAAACATACACACACATGCATATTCTACTTGCCAAGAATACAAGCTTGCATTGTAGTGTGTACGTGTTTGTCATATTACATCATCTTCTAAAAATTATTTGGCAAAAGTTATGCCAGTATATGTATGCTTGTATGTATGTAGAGCAGAGCTACAGTTGCTCCCTCTTCTTGTGCAGCTTCTGTGTGTGAATGTATGTATGTGTATGTGTGTTTGAGTTTTGCTGTCTGCCTGTCTGTCTGTGCGCGCGTAATTTAAGCGACGCAATTTGTTTTTGGTTTTTGGCTAATCGCTTTGATACTGTTCGCTCCCTCTCTTGCTCTCGCTCTCTCCTTTGAACTATCATTGCATTCATACTTATGGTGCATTGTTAAAAGTTTTTGGTGCATGATGCTATCTCGTTCCGGCATTTACCTACTAAATGGATGGCATTAGCCTCTTGATCATAACATAACTGTTAAATGTAAATATGTCCGTTTTTATATGCTTTATATATCAATGTGTGTGTGTGTGCGTGTGTATTTACTGTCGATCACTTCACTCCCCATACTCCCCTAGAAAGTCTAGCGCACATTTTCCGCTACAGTTGTCAGCGTCAGCTGAGACGAGGCAGCTGAGACCAAAAACTACAACTCATTACTTCAACTTGATTGATTCTGCGTAACTGCGAACGTTCAAGTGGCGAGAAGAAACAAAACACACACATAAAAAGAAAAAGAAAGGTAAGGCTGAAAAAAAAGCTATTCATGCCTTATAAAATATGCAGCATCACAATGGGGCGCTCAAGTACCACTTGAGATGTGCGGTGGCTGCTGCTTCTGCTGCAGTGCGCCAGTCAGCCGGCAGCCCACATACAGCGTCTATTGAATGAGCACGAACAAGACCAAGACGACGACAATGTGGCACAGTGGTTCGAAAAAAGTCTGATGTACAATTCATTTACTATTCTCTACAGCGACCAGTGCTGAGATTTCTGCGAAAGCACAGTCTTTTACTTATCCCGAATAATTAAAGCTTTACAGCTATTTGATAGGTAGCTGCCGAACCTCAACAATTTTTTTTCTACATACACCAATCTCACAACAACAAAAATTGTAATTTGTAGAGAACTATCAGGTCTATAAATACGGGTGTTTAAAAAGCCTGGGATATAGTACATGTCATATTACGAGAAATGACGAAAATGAACCGCCATAGATGAATCAATGCAAATCTCTTCAGCCGTCAGACTTTTTGAAAGCTCAACACTCATTGAAATGATGATGATCGTATAGCTCTCCAATGACATCTTTTTACACCCAAACATCAAAAATATATGCTGTCTAAAGCAATGATTTTTGTTTTTGAAACGCATGTTTCTACCTCGCTTAGAGTGGCGAAAAGTATTCAAAAGCTAGTTCCAAATCTATAGAAAAAGGCCATTTTCGATATCAAGTAATTCCTGTATTTTTAAAAATGAAATCAGATTTGAATGTTGGACCACGGTGCATTATCGTTGCCAGCTGTAAGTGAAGTGGGTAGTCTAGTGTTCCAAGAAAGCCAATGCTGCTGCCTAAAGAAACACACGAGCGCACGAACAAAAGGGAAATTTTAACCCTCGCCTCGTCGTTGCTCTGCTGGCTTGGCGCTAACCTTGGCTTGCCGTCTCGAAGGTTTCGCATGAGCTGCAATGCCAAGTTCCATCAGTTGGCCGCTGGCCCTTAACGCGGCGGGTCGCGCCGTGTGCGCGCCCGCTCGCTTCTAAATTCAGGACTAATTATTATTTTTATTTGACTTTGCAGCATTTAACAAGCTAAGAAAATGGCACGTACCAAGCAGACCGCTCGTAAGTCCACCGGAGGTAAGGCTCCGCGTAAGCAGTTGGCCACCAAGGCTGCCCGTAAATCGGCGCCCTCCACTGGTGGCGTAAAGAAGCCCCATCGTTATCGTCCCGGAACTGTGGCCCTGCGTGAAATCCGTCGTTACCAAAAGTCCACTGAGCTGCTGATCCGCAAGTTGCCCTTCCAGCGGCTGGTTCGTGAAATTGCACAGGATTTCAAGACCGATTTGCGTTTCCAGTCTGCCGCCATCGGCGCTCTCCAGGTGAGTTAAAAAATATAACTTAATACATTATATTTCCCAAGGGACAGTTACTTGTGAATATAGTAGTTGTTTCATATGTTTGTGATTAAAAACCGAGAAAGCTTTATACATATATGGGTTCGAATGGAGACATAATTTTCACATATTTCGGAACAGGAAATTGAGACTAGAAAACGAATTTAGAGTCTAAATAGCTTGGCGATTCCTTCCTTTAGCTTGTAGGGAATTATGAAATAATATGAAATAAGGGGGGAACTCTTATGAAATAAAAAGTTCAACAGCAAATAATGGAATTGAAAATTTAGTAAAAATGTTAAAATTTAAACAAAATTTCTTCCCATTCAAATACCCATAGGGGTGGAAAGAAAGTTTATTTTTATTTAGGCATGAAAAGTATAGCTATCTCCTTTCCTTAACTATACTTCTGAATGGAGTATTGCTGAACGTAAAAGGTACAGAATTGTTTGTCCAAATAAGTGTATTCTTGACGTTGTATAAAAAAAAATGTTACCATACATCGAAATATAATAGAATGTAATAAATTTTTAACTGGCGATTTACATCAGTCCGTGAATCCACGTAACTAGAATTATCAAGGTGCTTCGGGGCTAAGCTTGCTAAACGTTTTCCCCCCTTAGAAAGTTTACATATGGATTGGGTAGTGGTGGCTATCGGAGTGCTTGTTTTGTCTCAAGTATTGTTATTCTTACTAATTGTTTCATTCTTTCTTTTTCTCTCGTTCGCGTTTTAGGAAGCTTCGGAGGCCTACTTGGTCGGCCTATTCGAGGACACCAACTTGTGCGCCATTCATGCCAAGCGTGTGACCATCATGCCAAAGGATATTCAATTGGCACGTCGCATTCGCGGTGAGCGTGCTTAAGCGCGTTTGTTTTGGAAGGCGGTGTCACAACTTCGGCACCCACAACAAACACAACAACAACAACCACACAAGCGACAGCAGCATCAACAACAACGATGCCAGTCCAACATTGGCAGCTGTTACAAGAACATTTCATTTATTAAATATTTCACAAACAACAAACAAAGTATCAACAACAACAAACATATACATGGCCTACAATTTCGGTTTAAAATACTTACATATGTAGGGAGGAGCCGTATTTGACAGACAAGTATATATACACACAACATGATTATTACATATAATTTAAATTTTAAGCAAAAAAATAAAAACAAAAAACAGACACACACACTTAAACACAAGAAACAACAAATAACAAAAAAGCAAAAACAAAAACCACATCAAATTTGAATAATCTGGCAGACAACAAAACGAAAACAAACACAAAAAATTGTAACTGTAATGCATTGTATCTTAAACATAATCTAAAGAATATTGTAATTCTTATTATTATTATTAATTACTGCTATTATTAATTGCTATATTATGTATAACTAGTTGATAAGTGACGCGACCCGGCCCATTTATGTGCACTCTCCATCCATCGCACACATCGCTTGCGCGTGTCACGCGTGTCGTTGTCTGTCATCACGCCGCCGTTCTAACACCGCCCCAAACTCCAACTCCATCAACAGCCGCAGCGTCCAGCCGCTTCGGCGACTCGCACGCAAGTTCCCAGTCCCAGCGGCTAACTCCAACAACATCACTATATAAATCGATATGCCTAGCCAAATGAAGCCGCTGGCTAGCGGAATCCGCCGTGCAAACTCCATCCCAGCAATAACATCTGTGGCGAGTGCGTGCGTCTTGCCTCAATGGGCGGTTGGACGTTGTGGGTGTGGCAAGCGGCGGAGCGGTCGACAGTCACGAGCAATCGAGCACTTGCAGTGCGATTCGGGCTGGGCGGTATTATAAAAAGCAAAAACTACATAAAACTGATGACCGAATTGAGTACACTTTTTATGCAGGACCGAAAATAAAATTTAAAATGATTACATCTTATATATGCAGAATATATACAAATATATATATTCTTAAATACATGTAGTATATATAATATAAATATTATTTTTATTTCATTGTCTCTTACTAACCTTAAATATTACAATTATCATTAATTTTGGAAAAACATCGACCTTAATGGAAAGCACGATGAAGATTTCGCGATCTCCCCAATAAGTTGACGGTCAGTGGCACAATGGTTTGGGGGAAGCATCACCAACTCCCCACACCCCACGTCACTTCCCGCCTTCAAAGCTGTTTGAATAAGTTCTAGAATTACATGCATTTTATACGTTTAGGCAAAAAAATAAAACAAAACAAAAAACATAAAAAACCAAGATGATAAAAGAAAACCCTAAAGGATTAAATGCAAAATTGAATGAAAAAAAAAAAACAAACAAAACAATATCAAAACATCCGAGAAAGTGAAATCATATTACATGTTGATTTCTCTTGCAGACATAAAAATATTAAACAATTATATATACGTGTACAAGATATACAACAATATAAATCTAAAACTATATAAATACTGTACGAAAACATACTTATATGTAATTTAAATAGTCCATAAACAGAAACATGACCCATTGGAAAACCCACGCAAAAAAGGCCACTGAGAAAGAAAATCATTTCCACAGTAAATCAAAAGTCCAACAACAAAATTCAATAAACGGTTTTTTCTAGAGAAGAAACCAAAAACAAGGCAATTGTGCTTTTTACTCAGAATAGAAACACAATTCCCTAAATATAAATCAGCATAGTCGATGTGGAGGTGGGGGATTACAATAACATTAAGCTTCTTAGCATCGTCTTTGGATTTCTTTCATTTAAAATTCATAAGAAATTGGCTTTAGATCTAAATTTTCTTTGCTTGAAAAATTCGATCTCTAAATGGGGGAAAACAAGAATTAAATTATTCTTAGTCAATAATTTCTTTTGAATAATTTGTGAACATCATAAATCGGGATTTTTATATCACTGTTATGCCTTTGCCATCACTCAAACGTAATTCTGTGACTTGTCCGTACTTGTCACAAACTGACAAGTGCGCTCGTCGCTAAGTGTCAACGGCTCTATTTCAATACCGGTGCTGTCCTGAAACGTATCGGGGTGAGTCTGTAACAAAAGGAGGCACAAATACAAAGCGGGGTCCTTTAAAAACATTTGACAGCAGTGCAAGAGTCGTTCTGAATTTGTCTGCGGGAACATGGCTCGTCATTTGGGCGGAAAGAACGGTAGTTCCCCTGAACGTCATCGCATCTGTTATTGCGTTCATTGGCTGAGCCATGCCTGCAAGTGCCGGAAGGCGTCGTGCTTCTATATGCAGTGCTATAACCACAAACGACTCCTGCGACATGCCAGGACGTGCACACTCAAGGCGAGCGGAAATTGCGAGAAATGCCGCGAGTTTGCGCTCATCTGCTACAGCCATGCCAAGGAATGTCGGGACTCGAAGTGCCAAATAGTGTTCTGTCCCAGGATCAAAAACACACTGAGAAGCTTCATGGTGCCAAAAATTTGAGCAGAAAGAAGCAATAGCAGTCAGGATGTGTACAAGTAAGTGTATTTTACTGAAAATAACGAAAAATTTGCTTGTTCGCACAACTAGAAGATTATCTTCTTGTTCTCAAATATTCCACAGTGCAGCTTCTAGAACGAAGGACAAAAGTTAACCATAAGTTTTGCGATGGTTATATTTTAGTTTTATGGCTCTCTCCAACTCTCTTTCCATTTATTTACAGACCGTAATATCGTGCACTGGATCCGATTTCAAACAAAATCCAATAATAATTATAGAAAAACAGCGAAATGGGAAGTACTCACCTAAAAATCATATTTATACTCTGCTCATGAAATGTACAAGAGTATATTAGGTTTGAGGGAGGTGGAAAATATAATACAGGCAGAAGAAGACCCCCACAAATTCTTGACCAACATGACAATCGAGTCGATCTAACTGTGTCTGTCTGCCTGTCCGACAGTCCGTCCGTCCGTATGAACACGTGGATCTCAGACACTATAAGAGCTAGAGACGCCAAATTTTGCAGAAAGATGCCTTATGTGTGTTTGTTTTAATTTTTTGGATTTCCCCCCTAGGGGGGTTTTTCTGTAACGCCGTTCTCGGGGACTATAAGACGTAGGAGCACCAAAGCTTAGTTCAAGATGTCTTATGTGAATACGCAGAATTCCCCTCAAAATTTTTTTTAATTTCTTATTATTTTATTTATTATTTATTTTATTGTACAGAGTATTTGAAAGTCGGGACACCCGACTTTAGCTTCTCTACTTGTTCTCGAATGTCACTGTTTTGCGTATCACCGTCACCCATCACCGTAAGGACAGTGACTTGTGGTTGTGCTTCTAGTAGGAATGTAAAAAAACATCGATGTATCGAGCATCGACGATGTTTTTTTGCTTGCGAAGCTCCGTCGATTCATCGACGGTCACATTACTCTGTGTGCTTTACCGAGGAGTTTATATTTCTATTTTAATTTTTTTTATGTTTTCATTAAAATTTATTTTGTATGTATTTTAGATTGTCAGGCATTTGATCTTCATTTTTATTCTCATACAAGTATAACGTCACACTTCATATTGTTTTTGATTTATTTTTAAAACTGTATAAAGTAAGTTTATTTTCAGTATTACGATTACCTTATTGGTGCACAACGTTCACATTCAACTAGTTCTGTATAAATAAATAGTTGAATAGGTTACGATCTTACGCGTTGCTTTCAATAAAAAAGAAAAATGAAATATTTCAAAGCTCAGACTTGGAATGTTTTTTGATAGTTATTCAACAATTTGCATTTCCTGTGTTGCCTGGCTATTAAATGTCTTTTGTAATAGAGCCGTGACGTCAAAGCGCAGAGCAAGCAAAAAGTATAATATCTGGCGCTACCTTATACTCTCTCCTAAGAAATGAGGAGCTGAAATGAGAGCAAATTCTATAAATCTGGGCAATAAAGATAAGCCGCTTGAGTGTATTGCACACATATGTCTGTATATGTATGCATATGTAATCGTTGGCTAGCTTACTTAATAAACAATTAGTGAATAAAGTCGAACAATCTCGATTTATAATCGCAGCTGGCAGCAAGTAGGTATAATGTGGAGCGATTTGAGCGAGAAGGTTATATTGGTGACCGGCGCCGGAGCCGGAATTGGCCATGCGCTGGTCAGCCAGTTGGTCAGTGCGAATGCCAAGGTCATTGCGGTGGTGCGGAGCGAGGCGCAGGCGCAGCAACTGCTGGCCATCGATAAGGAGCGTATTCAGGTGGTGCTGGTGGACCTGAAGCATTGGCAGGCGGTGCGCGAAACATTGAAGGGGCTGCCTAAGCTGGACGGACTGGTTAACAATGCGGGCGTGGCCATCATCAAGCCATTTGAGCAGCTCACCGAGCAGGACTTTGATGCGTGAGTTTCAAAAAAAGCCTCCATCCTCCATCACATTCATATGCCTATCTGTGTATGTCTTCCCCCACACTCAGTCAGTTCGATGTGAACATCAAGGCTGTCTTCAATGTGACGCAGGCTGTGCTGCCGCTGTTGCGTGATGGTGCCTCCATAGTGAACGTTAGCTCCATTGCAGCGACGCGCTCCTTTGCCGGACATACCGCCTACAGCGCCACTAAGGCGGCCCTCGACTCACTCACCCAGTCGCTGGCCCTGGAGCTCGGTCCACGCAAGATACGCGTCAATGCCGTCAATCCCACGGTGGTGCTGACCAAAATGGGCGCCGACAATTGGAGTGATCCGGCAAAGAGTGGCCCGCTGCTGGCCCACATCCCCCTAAGACGCTTCTGTGAGGTGCAGGAGGTGGTCGATGGCATCGGCTATTTGCTCAGCAACAAGTCGAGCTTCGTAAATGGCCATCACCTAAATCTGGAGGGCGGCTATGCGGTTTCCTAAGCAGGCATCCGAAACGTCACACTCAAGATTTCAGAAATCAAATCAAATTAATTCTTTTTAGCTTTTCGAATAAATACGTTTCGTATAAGCAAACCATAATACAAGTAGTTAGGACGAGCAGTTGTTTGTTATTCCTCGCATGGAGACCATAAGGAAATAATGCAATTTTGTTATTCTAATGGATATGGTAAGTACATATGATCGATTGAAGGAACGTGCCAGCAATTGCAATTATTTCGTGCCGCTCCTCCAAAATTCATATCGCAGCCGAACAAATTCCCACCGAGTTGGCCTTCTACACCAGCTCTGTCTACCAGGGGAACATAAACGAGCAGCAGGCAAATGCATTGCTTGTTTATTTCAGCTTAAACAGCTGTTTTTGTTTACATTTCGGGATGCACAGTTAGGATCGGTTTGTTTACATTTGAAATGCAACCAATAGGAGAGCTCAAATTTGTTTACTTTTCGGAAGGCTCCGTTAGGATCGTGCAGCCATTGTGAACTAGAGCTTTTTGCGTTCATTCACAATTTAACTTCCACCCAGCTTGTTTACTTGCTGCGCATTTATGTTCGCCTGGTGTACGAGTACATTTGGTGCATCGGAAATTTAACAGAAAAACCGAAAAAATTAAGTCCAACCAAGTTGGGCGAGCCTTTAACGATTTAAAAGCAGCCCTATCTACCAGGCGAACACAAATGGGCAATAGGTAAATACGCTGCTAGTTTATTTTATGTTGGACAGCTGTTTATTGTTTACATTTCGCAATGCACAGTAAGGATCGCTTTGTTTACATTTTAAGTGCAACCAATAGGAGAGCCCCAATTTGTTTACATTTCGGACGGCGCCGTTAGGATTTGCATTTAAATTACAGCCAGAATGTTTAATTGCTGTCCGCTTATGCTCGCCTGGTATATGAATACACGATAGTTGACATGGCGGCGTTCAAAAAAAAAAATATTTAAATAATCAGTTTCAGCGACTCGATGCAAATGAAGTATTAAACATTATTGATTAAATCTATGAATCTATGGGTACAAGGGTATAAAAATCATGAGCTCTAATTGCATAAATTTTATTTCAATAAATTTTTACAATATGCTTAGCTTAAATCGCTTTAAAAAAAGCTGTAATAGATAATTTTTTGCTTAAACAATAAACTACATTAATGACGACACAAACGCGATTAAATTTTGAAATATATAGCTTCTATATAAAAGGTGTAAAATATTTGCAATCCATTATATTAATGTGGAAACATAAATATGTGTACTATATAATATATCCACAACAATTTTTTTTGAGATGCTTGGCCATGGCGGTAACTCTGTCGCTGTTTACTTTCTTTCATTCTCTCTCCCTCGCTCTCTCTTCCTATCTAACTAAGCGCAGATCTTTCCCTGCTGTTGGCTTTGTATTTGTTGTTGTTTCTTTTCTCGTTCGCGACGTCGTAGCTTCTTGCGCCGCCGATCAATGATGGCTAGCTCGCCTTTGATCGTGTTGTAGGCCTTGCGTAGATCCTGAATCTGTTTGCGCAAAATGGTAATACATTGATCCGAGCTCAGAGAGGGATCTGTGGAAAATATTGGATATTAAAGAATTGGAAATTATGAAGATTATGATGGGTCTTGCTTGCTTACCCAATTCGACTAGGAAATTGTAGGGGCATGGCCGAACGCCATTCGCATTTCCCAGAGACTGTTGTTGCTGTTGCTGTTGTTGTTGCTGCTGCTGTTGCGCCTGCGCCTGTGGCAGAAGTTGTTGGCGTGCGCTCTGGCGCTGTGCGGCAGTCGTCACAAGATTATCCGAATTGTCATCTGTGTCGGAACCGGCTGGAAGACCAAAACGTACAGATATGAGCAACATGGAACTCGAAATTTACCAGCAAAATGAAAGTAAAAACAAGAGAGAACGCTACAGTCGAGCAAGCCCGACAGTGTAATACCCTGTACCCAGGTAAACTTCCGTCACTGAGTTATATGCGCCCATAGCAGCAGCAAAAAGAGGAAGAAGAAGAGCGAACTCGTTGCTGCTGTTTGGATGGGTTGTACTGGCGAGAATTTGTTTCGCTAATAACTTTTCTTAGAATTGACCGAATTTGATAAAATTTTAAACAACAGTAGATAATTGTATAGAAATTATGTTTGATTTAGGTAGCATTTGAAATGTGGACGCTATTGACAAAATTCTGTAGCGGGGGAAGGGGGGGAAAATTAAAAAAAAAAAAATAAACTCGTCCTTACTCGGACCTAGGAGAATCTGGATGCCAACTTTGGTTTTTCTAGCTTTTATAGTTTCTGAGATCCTTGCGTTCATCCAGACGGACGGACAGACGGACGGACATGTCTAGATCGATTTCTCTCGTCATGCTGATCAAGAATATATATACTTTATGGGGTCGGATATGCTTCCTTCTGTATGTTACATACTTTGCACAAACCTAATATACCCTTTTTACCCTACGGGTACAGGGTATAACAACACTAATAGTATTTAAAGTTTCTTAAATAATAGCTCATCATAATTCGTAAAAACAAACATTTTAACGTTTAAGGGAAACTACTGATTTGAATCGATGATTAAAATATACGAATTGATATATTTTGATATTTCTACTCTTGTCTGTAGAATTTATGATTAGAAACAATTTTTTTTTATCTCAGATACGGAACTGAAAGATAATATTAAAAGACAATTTGGTTGAACATATTCTGTTCAAAAAATACAAATTTTTATCTCCGATATGAGTTGAAAGAGCTAAAAAATATTGTTAGATAAAGTTAAAACCTAAAGACCCTTTAAATTTCGTTTAATCATGGAGTATCTCCACTTAGACTTTTAAGATCGAGGACTTTATATTATTATTTTGTTAAAGACGTAATCTCGTAAGACCTTGGAAGATACTTGTATATTGTGGGTAACTTAAATTTTGAAAAGAGCTGAGCGCAATGTTTGTGGATTGTACAACGATTGAGGAATATATACAAGTATTTAAAATGCTTACCCGCTGTCGTTGTCGCTGTGGTTGTCGCCTTGCGCAGACTGTTAATCTGTCGCCGTCGCTTGCCTGGCACGGGCTGCAGCTCTGTGGCGGATGCCGCGGCCAGCGCAAGGAGCTCGACCTGTTTGCGGGTCCGCTTGCGTTTGTTGCTGCTCGGCATGCCGCTGATCAAATCGTGATCAGGCAGCATTTTCTTGGCCGCATTGCTGACCGCAGTCTCCTCGCTGCTGTCGTCCTGGCTGGCTGAGTCGGGAGAGCTGTTGTTGGCCGAGCACACAGTTGTTTGACCCGAGGTGGCACCGACGCCACTCGCACCTGCAACAGCGCCCAGCGCTGACTTCGGCGGAGGCGTGTCGGGCGGTAGCGGCGTGATGCCCGACATGGGTATTACGGATGTCGCTGATGTTGTTAGTGATGTGGACGCCATCGTCTGTGGCGGCTGCTCATCCTTGCTGCTGTAGGTGGGCGCCGGGCTACCTGGAATGGTCTCCTCACAGAGCAGATTAATGGACTCGTTGTGTGGCTCGGTGGTTGGTAATGGCGATGCTGCTGATGCTGGAGGGCTAACGGCGGAAATGTTTGCCGGTGCGGGAGAAACAGCTGCTGCTACTGCTACTGTTGTGGGTGTTGTTGTTGGCGCTGTTATTAGGGGCTTGCCATGCAGCATGAATGGGCGGGACATTAGTAGCGCTGTCCCTCCAGAAGCGGTTACTTCGGGCACTGTTACTCTAATGCTTTCGCTGCCATAGATTATGTTGTGATGGTGTGCCTCTAGGACATATGAGGGCACAGACGTGGCTGTGGGCAAGGATGTCGTTGGGGCGATGTTGGTGTTGGCGCTGGACAACGGTGGGATGGGCATGAGTGGCCTATAGAGGCCCGATGGCGGTGCCTGCAGCATTAGATTGCTGCCATCTGTCATAATAAGTTTGCTGTCAGCAGACTTCGGCGACATCTGAAACTTGGCGGCTGCTGTCGAAGAGGATGAAGCTGAGGGGCTGGCTTGACCCATAATGGCATGAGTCGTGGAGCTGTTGGACATGGAGCCAGGACTGTGCAATAAGGTAGCAGCCATAATGTGGGGTACACCGCTTTGGGCCATCACTACAGAGACCGGAATCTCGGGCACAACAATAGGCACCACTCCATCCGCAGCAGCTGAGGCCACTGATGGTGCCACAATCGTCGATTGCTTTGGCGCCAGCTTGTGTACGACAGTGTCGAAGTTGCTGCTGCTACTGTTGCTGTTGTGGGCGCTGGACGTGTGCTCCTCCTTGGTGGACTCCAGCTTGGTCAGGGGTGGAACTGCCTGGCTAACCAGTCCAGTTGAAGTCAATTTGCCCGCGAAACTGGGCGAGATATTGGGCGTAGTTGGATTGCGTGTAGAAACGAGTCCTGCGCCCACTACAGCGCCCGGCTTCAGAGCAATGGGGGCCTGAAGACCGGCCATGCCTGACAATACCGCTGTGGCTAAAAGTTGTTTGCTGCTACCCTCAAGTTTGACGGGAGCACCCAAACTGCCCGATGTCTCTGATAGAGGACTCTTTTGCTCGCCCTGCGTGGTGTGCTCCTCATTGACGACCACATCTTCAATCACCAGCCTCTGCTCCGAGTCAGTGCTGTCCATGGACTCGTCCGAATATCCAGCTCCCACAGTGGCCGTGGAGTTGGGCGTGTGCGCTGGTGGCGTGCCTGCCGTGGAGGAGGCCAAGGAGAGACCGCCTACGGGTGTCTTGCGCTGAATGGCGCACTCCAGCTTCTGAATGGTCTCGCTTAGTTCGCTGTTCTTGGCCGGCATTGATTCCAGTAGGGATTTGGTTTCCGGACTACTCTGAGCGACTAACCCACTCAGGTCGGGGCGGTACATATCTCCCAGCATAGTGATGGGACCGGTGAGAATCTTGAGAGGCTCACAGATCGGTTTGTTTTCACGTAGGATGGCAGCGGAGGACACCGGCACAAGTAAATCCATTTTGGAGCTGGTTTCATCTTGGACTGGCTCCACTTTACGCTCCTCTTCTACCTCATTTGTTGTGCTTGGTCCAGCTTTGGGTGTGGAATCGTGCGGCTTCGTTTTATTGTTCTCCACCTCCTCCTTCTTCTGGCTAATGGCCTTCAGCACTTTATCTGCTATGGAAATGGAGCTGAGCTTCTGTTCGTATTTAACGGCATCCAGATCGAAGGGTCCGGCAGTGCCGGCTAGAAGTATTTTCACATTCTCAAGCTTCTCTAGCTTATTATCCTTGGACTCACCAGAGCTATACCCAGAGCCCTCGTTGGATGTGCTTAGCTCAAAGACGTTACGCGTCTCAATGAAGGGACTGCCAACAATTTGCGGAGGCTTGGGCGGTCCTTGAGCGCCTCCACTGACACTGCTTGTACTGGCATGTGGCGGGGTACTCAGCTTAGGTGATATGGCCACCGAGCTGCTGGCTACAGCTTGCGGTGTCTGTTGCATCGATGCCAGAGGTGTGTGGGTCGTTGGTGACTCTGGAAGCGATGCTTTGCTGCTGATTGTTTCAGGAACGGGTTTCCCGACAATTGCTGCCGATGGCATCGACACAGCCGGCGTTGTTGGCGGCTGTAGGGCATCGGTGAGAGCGCGTGTTGTTTCCTGAACTGTTTGGGCGAGCTCCTCATTCAGGGCGGTCATGTTCAAATTGAAGCTAGGGGACTTTCGAAGAACATCGAAGGGCGTTGGGTAGATGAGGGCGGATCCCATTCCCACTGCACTGCTCAACTCGTTGGGCTTATTCCATAACGATGTGTTGGAGGTGCCTCCAGGGCTGGTCGTAAGATGTGCGTGCACATGAGGATGAGAAACAGCATGTGCGGCTGGCGCTGTTGGCGGCAAGGGTCCAGTTGCCGGGGACGATGCTGAAGAAATCGTCCCCACTCCCGTTGCTGTGATGACTTTTTGCTGTGCCCCCAGAGGATGAGCAGCAAGCATAACCAGAGGTGCATGCTTCGACGTATGCAATGGATTAATGCCACCGGCGGTTGAGACGGAGGTTCCAGACTGTGCGCCAATCTGAGCACAGACTGGCTGTGTCTTTTCATCGGTCTTGTAAAACTTGCTCTTTTCCGCTATCAGCGTTGCTTCTTTCATGGGTGAACCGCGTTTTTTGCTCTTGCCAACGGTACCGGTGGTGGTGCTGGCACCACTTTGTGCATGGTAGCCCCGCTCGTGTGGCGTATGTGGCAGTTGGAGATGCTCTATGCTTTGTTGCATTGCGGTGAACTTGAGCGCCTGCTTTCTGGCTGCCGCAGTAACCGTGAGTATTGTTGGTGCACTGCTGGCCGTCACAGTGGTAGCTGTGATGACAGAAGTACCACCGCCTAGTGTAGAGGTCACCGAGGCCATGGGAGAGATGCGCTTCTCGAATTCAAATGGCTCCGTATCCTTGAACTCATAAACATCGGATGAAAGCATCTGGGCACGACTGACTATTGGGATCAGGCCGCTGCAGGGAAACTTTTGCTCCCTGGAGGCTGTGACGGGGACTGTTGATGGATGAGTGATTGAGATTGGATTGACAATAGAACCAGCAGCAGTACCACTGCTTATTTCCAGTTTGCTCATGTCGGGAAGAGAGCGCGTGGCCGAGCTGTTGGAGACGCTGGAAGCGGACACAGTTGTGCCCGCCGATGCATTGGAACAGAAGGAGGATGATGAGGAGGAGCTGGATGAGGGCGAACATGCCGCTGGCAGCTCCACCTTCAGTGTGGCCGTTTCTTTGTGCAGCACAGGTTCCACAAACTTCTTTCCAGATTCTTGACTGCTGCTTCCAGTGGCTCCAGTACTGGTGGCTCCAGCAACACCAGCTGCTGCTTGTTTTTTCAACTCCAGATGCTTTGCCAGCAAAGGCTTTGATTCGTTCTTTTTTGAGGTAACGCCGATTGGTTTCTCTACAATTACGGACGTATATTTGCTGATACTGGATGTGCTAGCGGTGGCACTTGTGGTGGTGGTGCTACTGGTACTCGTAATGCCACCAAAGCGCGCTGGAGCAATTAATGTGGTTGGCTTAATATCAGCACTACTGTGGAACGGTTTAAGCTGTTCTTCCTCCTTGATTTCCGTTTTTAACGGCTTCTTTTGGTCCTCGCCACCACCTGCGGTGGTTGTGATAACGGAACGACTGCCTTTGTCTGGTTCGTTTTTGATTTCCTCCTTAATGCTTGGCATCGCCGAGCCTTTAAGTTGCTTCAGGCCAGGCTCCTGTCGCTTCTCTGAAGTGTGCAGCTCATTTGATATCTGGTCCACAATGCAAGGTTTGCTGGACTTGGTCATCGCCTGTTGTTGTTGTTGTTTGGACAGCTGCTGTCTCTCCCCACCGCGTGTCTTTTCGCCTCGTTGTTTCTTCTCGGTTGTCTGTTGCTTTCTATATTCCAACTCTATGCGCACCTTTTCGGAAGATTGTGAGTCCTCATCATTGTACGAGTCCGTCTCTGAAGAAAGTTCCGTTGAGCTGCTTTTTCCCGATTCTAGCTTTATGGATTTTGTCTCTTTTTTAATATCGACGACTTCGCTGGTGGCTGCACTGGCACCGCGCTCGCTTTTTGTAGCTGTTCCACTTGTAGTGCCGCCTTCTTTGCGCTCTTCTGACCCTCCTAGGCTGTTAGTGAGCTGATGCTGAAAACCTTTCAGCTCAGAGCGTATCTCACTTAAATCGTAGTCGCGTCCCTTGGCACTGCTGGCGGCATTGGCGCCACTGCTGAGAGCGCGTCCGCTAGCGCGTGGGCGCAGAGGGGTAAGTGTTATTTGTTGCTCGTCATCGTCCTCATCACTGTCATCGCTGGCCATTGTGGCCAAAACACGTCCTTTTCCGCCAGTCGTCTGCTGCTGTCCTTTTCCAGCGGCGGCGCCTGCACCACCGCCACCTCCTGCCTTAAAGTTGGCTTGATCTTTGGCGTTCTGTCGTTTGGGACGACGCACTGGTTCATCAGAGTCCGTGTCCGATTCGCTGGCCATTGAGGCATCTGAGATATTCGCCGAGGTGCGACGCGCTGTATTAATATGCGCTATGCGTGTCGGTCGCTTCTTTAGTTGCGATGCTGCTGGGGATTTGGTGCGACTCGAATTGGAGGCCACAGAAGAGGGCGTTGTCGAGCGTGGCGGCATAGAGTCACTGCGTCCGCGTCCCCGTTTAGCGCCTGTTGTGGGTGTTTTGGTTGTGCCTTGCAAAACTGACACCAAATTAGAAGCACTGGCCGAGGAGCTGATGCCGCTACCAGTTCCGTGCCCTGATGCACCTAGAGCCTTGGCAGCTGCATCTTTACCGGGCGGCTGCTTGTCGCCACTAGTTCCTGCATTGCTGCCACCTCCTGATGCTGAGGCAGCGCCGATGCCTACAGCCGCTGTGCCACTGTTGGGTGTCTGCTGATTGTTGGAACCGGCTGTGCCGCTGTTACCGGCGCTGCTTGTGCTGGTCGTGCGAGTCTTCTGTTTGGATCCTTTGGTTAGGTTCTCGGCGATGCGCTCCCGCGGCACCCACTCATCATAGCGATTATTCCAGCCGGTGTAGTGCACCAAGTACATGGGAACACCGCGTTGCATGCTAATCTCAATGACCTTCGCCTCGTAGGTGCTGCCATGGGAGCTTGGTGATTTCTTCTCGTGATAGTTGACTTTCAATTTGTCGCCGATGCCCACCACAAAGTCTCCCGTGTCGATTTTCTCAACGGTAACCTCGTCCTTTTTGCGCTTGCCGCGCTTTTCCTCGCCCTTCTCGATTTGTTTCCTCTGATGCTTTTCCTTTTTTGTTGAGGGTGGCGCTGCATGTGCGGAATAGAGCGAGATAGAATATACACAAAAACATTAATATTTGCTCAACACATTGCTGCTTCCTGCTCTAATTATATTAAGGTTGGTGTACAAGCTAATAGTGGGGGGCGACTTGGCTAACTTGTGATAACATTTCTAACTAACGATAACATTTGAACTATCGATTGCTTATTGCGAAACAGGTGGGCGACGCCAACTGCAAATTGGTAATCGTTGCGCAGCAGTGAAACGAGAAGGACGGGATATGCCGCAAAGGCCCCCACTATTGGTAAATTTTTTTTAGACTTTGTCGCCGCTTATCAGACTGCTGCCGAAAAAGCAAACAAACAAGAATACCAACAAAAACAAGAGCCAAAGTGTGAATTAAATATAAATAAGCAACGCAAAGCCACCAAGAAACTGATAACCAATTTCGGCTGCTTTGACGGGGGGTCGCGCCACAATGTTGTTTTTGTTGTTGACACGCAAAAGAGAAGATTTAATTTGATTCGTACCACAAAAGCCGGCTGGTACAAGCGCACACTATTATTATATAATTAGTTAGAGGGAAAGTGTCCTAAATAACAATCGTCCAGCCATGTCATCGATGTGTTTGCTGAGGAAAGCTACAAAACTGTTGTTGATGCGGCAACGATCCCAGGCGGCGGCCATTGTTGGCGTTTGTCGGAATTTTGGAGGAACAGCCAGCGAAGAGGAGCAGAGCAAACAAAGAGGGGGGGAACAGGCTGCCAGAAGTATACTCTATGGAGCACTAACAGCGGGCGGCATTGGAGTTGGATACTTCATATTCGACTACTTGGCACAGCAGCGTCTAGGAAGTGACGAGCCTTCAACCAAATCCAATGCCAGCAGCTCGACCGTGGCCGCTCCTGAGCTGGACGATAAGGCGCTCGCCCGCTTGTGGCACAAAACAGCGCGTGACGAGCTGCCCACCTATGCCCTCGATGAGGTGCAAAGCCACAATACGGTCGAGACGGGCATTTGGGTGACCTATGGGTTGGGCGTATACGATGTGACCACATTTGTGGACAATCATCCGGGCGGTGATAAAATTCTAATGGCCGCTGGCAGCGCTATAGATCCCTTCTGGGCCATCTATCAGCAGCACAACACTCTGCAAGTATTGGAGCTGCTCGAAAGCTATCGCATCGGCAATTTGGCCAAGAGCGATGTAGTGTCTGTCGAAGATCAGGGTTCGCCCTGGGCCAATGAGCCGAAACGCCATGCACTGCTAAAGCCAGCCGCGGAGCGACCCTTCAATGCAGAGCCGCCCCTGGGAATGCTGGCCGAAAAATTCTACACGCCCAACGAACTCTTCTATATTCGAAATCATTTGCCAGTGCCCACACTCCAAGATGACGACTATGGGCTGGAGATTGAGATTAGTGCTGGCAAACATGCTGGCACGGCTGAGCGCACACTCAGCTTTGAGGACATCAAGCGACTGCCCAAGCACACGGTCACAGCGGCTATTATGTGCGGCGGCAATCGTCGCTCCGAAATGACGCGCGTCAAGCCAGTCAAAGGTAAGTGCTGTTCGTTCAAGAGACGCGACGCACCACAAAGACTCACACACTCTCCCTCTATATATTATAGGTTTGTCTTGGGGTGCTGGCGCTGTGGGCAATGCTAAATGGTCAGGAGCGCGTCTCTCTGACCTGCTTGTGGCGATGGGCGTGCAACCTGACGAGCGGCTGCACGTAATATTTGAAGGTGCCGATCTGGATCCCACTGCACATCCCTATGCCGCAAGCATACCGCTCTCAAAGGCACTCGATCCCCGTGGGGATGTCATACTGGCCTACGAGATGAACGATGAGCCGCTAACTCGAGATCATGGCTTTCCCATACGTGCAATTGTACCCGGAGTTGTAGGGGCCCGTAACGTTAAGTGGTTAACCCGCATTGTGGTGTCCGATCAAGAGTCGGACTCACATTGGCAGCAGAACGACTATAAGGGCTTTAGCCCGAGCACTGATTGGGACACGGTCGACTTTAGCTTGGCGGCAGCCATACAGGCGATGCCCGTCACCTCCGCCATCTGCACACCCATGCCGGATGAGCGGGTACGTGTATCAGGCGATGGTCATATAACGGTACGTGGATATGCCTGGTCAGGCGGCGGACGACGCATTGTGCGTGTGGACTTGACAGCCGATGCCGGCGCGACTTGGCATGTAGCCGAACTGGAACAGGAGGATCTGCCGGATGGTCGCCACTACGGCTGGTCGCTGTGGACGGCACGCATACCAGTTAAGGAGCAACAGAAGGAGTTGGAAATCTGGGCAAAGGCCGTCGACTCTGCCTACAATGTGCAGCCAGAGTCGTTCGAAAACATTTGGAATTTGCGCGGCGTCCTCTCTAATGCCTATCATAGGGTGAAGGTAAAACTAATACGGGAGGCTAAATAAAGGCTAATGCTGAACTGATGATTTGCTGATAATATTTCCATATAGTCTGGTTTCCCTAATTTTCGTTGACTTACCGGCATTTGGGGAAGTGTCGCGGCTCCGTTGGGACTCTGTGGTGCTGGCTGACTTGCCACTGGAGCTGACAGTAGTTGTGTTGTTGTTGTTACTGTTATTGTTGTTGCTGCTGCTGTTGCTGCTGCTGGCACCTGCGCTTGCAGCGCTGCTGTTGCTGCTGGTGGTGGTGGTGGTGCTGCTGCTGGCATTATTGCTCGGCTCCTTGTCTATGCTGTTGCGAGCAGTCGCTGCTGCCTTGATTTTGGCCAAAGGCACATCTGCCTCAGCATCTTTGGAGGCTGCTGCAGCTGCAGCTGTTGCTGCCGCCGCTGCTGTTGCTGCTGCTGCTGCTTGTATTGCAGCTGCTGCTGCTGCTGCTGATGCACTTGCTGCCGCTGCAGCTGCCGATGCAGTGGCGGCTGTCGACGATTTCTCCTCATACTTCTCCACCAGACTCTTAACTTTGCCGCTGCTAGCCGCAGAGGCTTTGCGCTGTTTCTTGGTCGGCTCCACAACACTCGATTCGCTCGTATTCTCCGACTCCTCAGCAGCCGATTGTGAAGCCGTTGATGCCGTATTGGCTGATGCCAGACTGGCGCTTGCTGCCGTGCTTGTGGCGGCAGCTGCTGCTGTCGCCGAGCTGCTCGCACTGCTGCTGGCAGCTGTTGAGGCGGCTATGGCGGCCGCTGCTTGATTCGTTACCGCCAACTTGGTCATGTTCTCGCTTTTGGTGCTCTCGGCCGGCTTGGGTGATGCCACCGAGTTGGCACGCACCAGACTGCGTCCTTTGCTGCGATTTGAGTTGCGCGAAGTCATGCTCAGCATGGAGCAGCCGAGCTTGCGATGAAAATCGCCGTAGGGCTGTAGGAATTTCTTGTACGCCTGCTTCACAAGATTCATGACGCTGACCGTGCAGGGAGTGAAGCCGAGACGCACGGCAATGACTTTCCATTGATTTTGTGTGGTCACGCGATTGTAACCGCCACGTTTCTGCACCGTCCGAAACAGACGATAGAGATCCACGTCTCGACTCTGTATGGAGGGCACCTTGTTAAGTGGCGTTCCACGATCGTCCATATATTTGTAGAGTTGGGCGACAAAGCGATCCTTTTCCTCGTGCGGCTCGTCATCTGACGAATCGGAATCTATTTCGCCCTCGTCGTCGCTCGATAAATTGCTGAGGCCGAAGAGAGAGTCCCGATCCCAGTGAGGTGGCAATGCGCTGCTGTCCAGAAACTCGAGGGCTGCCTGCACAGCAGGCCCATCTTGCTTGCTGGCCACCTCGCGCGTAAATTCGGTGGCCTCTTTTTTCGGCACCGTATAATAACGTCCATCCTTGAAGGATCTCACCAAATATTCGTCCTTAACGCGTATTCGTACTGTCGCCTGTAAAATGGAAATATGATGGATTAGCATTCAATTACTCTGTTGATCAGTATTTCTATTCTTTACTTCTAATTTTACTTAGAGGCTGCCTTTAGATTGCAGCCCATAATGTATTAATAATAATATTTATTTATGAAACAACCTAAAACTGTTCACTGAAGAAACCAAAATTAGTTGACTGCATTGCGATTATTTTGTAAATAAACAAGTATTAAAATTAAATAAAAACTGTTGTGATTGAAAGCCTTAAAGCTGGGCGGGAATAGATTATAGCTATGGCAAACTATTTCACAACCTGCTTATAATATGTATGCTGTTGGCTTAGCTCTATCTGCATGATTTAAATAAAAACAGATTCCTATTTATCTTCGCAAAGGCTGCTAACTGTCCACTGCACAGCACATTAATAATAATTAAATAATAATCACCTGTGCTGTTGGCGCGACAACTAGCGCTGGAAACCACTTTTCCTTGTCCTTCTTCTTTGATTCGGTCTCCACGCAGACGACCTTGCCAATGTTCTCCTCCTTCTCGTTGACCACCTCCTTGGCATCGCTCTCATCATCATCCTCTGAGCTGTCTTCGTTCAGCTGTCCACGCCTGCGACCGCGTCGTCCGCCCACCACTGGATTCCCAAAGTGTTCGGGATGTGTAAGCGGCAGTTGATCTAGCGTTTCGCTTTCGTTAAAATGTCTCCCGCTCTTGAGGCACAACGCGGTTCGCCTCAGTGTTGTGATGTCGCCATCGTCGAAGACAACTGTGTACTGCGAGCAGTCCTGGATTTTCGTTATGGTCGCCTCCACAGTTTCCTTGCGATCCGGATGTCGCACCTCGACAACAGCTCCCACCCGCAACTGGCCCGTGGGCGCTTTTATTGCATCGTCCGAGACAATACCCGAACCCAGACCCTGTTTGTAGGCCACCTTCACTTTGATGTTCCGCACCACTTTGCTGACCTTCGCCTCACAAAAGGCGCCCTTATATTTGGCGCTAACTTCCGTGCCGACGGGCAGCGACGGTGGATCATCCACTTGCTGCGAAAAGAACAGTCAAATATTAATTGCAAAACCTCATTAATGTACACTTCTGTGAGGGTGTGCATTGGGCGTATAACGGAACCACAATAGAGTGGCGCATTGCTGGCCCCAATGTAGTGCCTCATTGCTCAGCTCTGTTGGTTTTGTTATGATTTTAGCACTTGCCTGCATTTTTTGAAAATAATAACGCTCGTAACTCAATAAATCGCCTACAAACGCCACTTTTAAAACAATTACAGGTCTTTATTCTACTCAGCGTTTTGCAATTTTTGCGCCGTTTATTCTGTTGTTAGTTTTTTCTTGGGCTCATAATAGTCTGTACCAAAGTCTATACAACGCAATGCACTTTTCGGTGCCACTGTTAGGGTTGAACTAGCAGACATCGAGACTGTCGAATACCTGGCCGCCTCCGACTTTTATCGCAAAGATAGCAGCGAGACTTAGAGCAGTGGAATTGGCACAATCAGCATTCTCATACACACATTTTAGAAAGCTATAGCAACATATGCCACAGAAATTCGATATGGTTTTTAAGCATTTAATACTTTATCGGCAAAACTTTATAAAGTTTGCTTACACATATGGTTTAAGCGTGTAAATATAAATAGTGCCAAGTGTTCCAGTGCCGCTGCTCCAAAAGTGCTGCCATTTCTCTACTCGATATTTCGATTGTCTCCCATGCGATATTGCCTGTGTTGCGAAACACCAAATGTTTCGTTGTTAAAGGATTAGAGATAATTCGATTAACTCTCTTCCGTAAGTTTCGAGCAGTTTTGTTGGTGCTGCCAGACATCAGAAAAAAGATTGCACTGATTTTAAATTTGTCCCGTGTATAAATAAAATAATTGTTTGTGTTTGCCAAATAAGCAACTAAAATAAACAATTTGTACAAAATAAAAAACCAAGAGAAAACGATTTAATTAGGTAAAAAAAAAACAGAGTTATAAGTGCAGTTGATTGCACGTATAAAAAATAGGTAAACAATATTGGCAAAAACAAAATAATAAATTTATAGGTTACAGTTTTAACTCTAAGCTAGCAATAAATAATTTTAATAATAAATTTAAAATGCTTTAAATTAAATAAGCAAAGCTCCCCAATGAAAAACTATATATGTATGTATATAATTTTGCTGCAGAACTAAAATAAGGCGATAAATTTAGTGTCACAACTATTTACAAAAGCTTTCAAGGAATTCATTTACTCACAATATCTGATCATGATATTATGAAATTCTGCAGCGCTACCAATCAAAAACATAGAGATCCATTTATAGAGATTAATGATAGATAGATAGAGATTAATGTCCCTTTTTAGATCTAAACATTCCTTATGGGAAAGAAGAAATAAATTTAGTAAAAAATACATTGATAGACTTCACGACCATGAAAATAACCTGGTCTTAAATCGAACAGATAATAGTCTAGCAGCAAGAAGACTCTTGAAAGAAGATCTCCCGGATAGATAAATCAAATAGAAAACAAAATCTTTTTAAACAAAAAAGTTGCCCATACCAAGTTTCTTTTTTTTTGTATCATTTGTATGATGGCTATATGACTTGACATCTTTTTCTTCCAGACTAATGGGTGTTACAAGCTTACGCATCAGTTACAAAATACAATGAAGGGTGTAAAAATCAATTGATCTGCCATGTGGGGAGATTTGTTGTGCCTGTCTACGATTTGATTGATCCTATTATGTGTATGTTAAAGCGTTTAATAGAGTTAAAGAATAAAATAATTTTGAAATCTCGGGTCAGTTGGAATTCTTCGCCATTTATCGATCGCTTCAATACACAATTGCAATCCCAATGCGGTTATTCATCCCTGGGAGTGAAAAGATAGGTTCGAGTGCTAAAAATATATATATGTATGTATATGTGTATGTATGTAATTAACGCGTACTATCGAATAAATACTTTCTCGTATATAAAATATGTAGTAAAATCAACAAACGCATATGTATATGCACTATGCTTACACTGAGGAGGTACGTTCGAATTACAGAGTTTGGTACTTTACTAAGATAGTTACATATATACATGGGCAGGGAAGGGAGGCCCCAGCTGCCGAGCTTGCAGCTAGCTCTTGCTTTTAGCTGCCTCCAGCTGTTGCCTGCTGTTGAGACGCTGGCAGCGCTGGCAACTCTCCCGCCGAGCGCGCCAACAGCTCTGATGGGCGCAGGCACCGCATTGGAGGCAGCGCTGCACCTTTCGCTGCCATGGATAGAGCAGCTTGGCGTTGTCACAGTACTCGCAGACGAAGGCGCGTCCGGTGCAGAGCTGGAATGGAAATCGTTGAGATGAAAGGTCTTCTTTTTGTTTGGCGGGGGGAGGGGGGAATTGGTCAGGAATTACCACACAGTTCTGCACATGCTGCTCGCTCAGCGCAATAAGCTCCTCAATGGAGCGCGTCATGCTGTTGTTTTGGACATCCACAAAGTCGGACATGGACCAAATATCCGGCTCATTCGTAATGTGCGGCGGTATGGCATCAAAAAAGCTCTGCTCCCTGCAAATGAATAAGAAAAGTCCGACAGTAATAGTGAAATTAGGAGGAGGAGGAGGAGGAGGAGGAGAAGAGGGAGAACGCACTTGACTGCAAAGCGGCAGGCCCTGATGAACTCCTTGATGAACTGGAGTTGGACGCGGCGACGACGCGCTATGGCCAACGCCTTGTGCTTGCCATAGAGCTGCGCATTCAGGTCCGGCACATGGAAGAGCGGAAAGGCGTACATCTGTTCGATGAGGCGATACGCGAACACCGAGACCGGATAGCAGCGAAAGTCCCAGGCCTGCAGAATCTTCGCCGGTATCGCCGAAATCTGCTGGCGATGGCATCCCGTACACATATACTTGCCCAGATAGCTGCAATATCGAAAGTGATGCACAAACTGCTTGGAGACGCGCATCCCACAGCCGGCGCAGCGGTAGTTTTGACGCGTCAAAAGCTCCGAGCGACTAATTTAGAGAAAATAAATAAATAAATAATTGAGAGGAAGTGAATAAGTTTGGATTAGAAGCCTATAAAGCTTTAAGCTGGCGTCTAAGCCGATCTGAGTGTCTGTAATTAAAAAATTTCGACATCCCTAAACATGAAAAGGGATTCGATTTTTAGGTTTAAGTCATTTACTTTTACATTTTGCATTTATTTTAGTTCGTTTAGTTATAATATTAATATTCGGATGAACATTTTGATATTATGGCTGTAATATTATGCAATAGAGCTATACATCTCTCTAATGAATGATCTACAGTTTTTCTTCTAAACTATCTTTCTTATCACAAACATTTGCTTTTCAGTTTAAGTTGATTTTTTCCATTTATGGATAACTATAATCGCCCCAGATATGTTTTAAAATCATGCGAAAAACTTGGAACGTTTTTAATAGATGTTTAATCTAAAGTTTTTCCTCAAAACTATCCCTCTTATAACAAACATTTGCTTTTCAATTCAAGGTCTTTTATGGAAAAATATATTCTTAATAGATGACTGATCTTAAGTTTTTTCTCCAAATCTAACTATCTTTCCTATCCTGAACAATTGCTTGTCAGTTTTGAATTGACTTTTTGAGAATATTTCGTTTAAGTCACGCGCCCATCTCTAATCGCGGCTTAAGTCATCAGACATGGAACCATGAATGGAATGAATTGGTGACTCACCTGGCTGCTGGATGTTCTGTGAATATTATTTGCTGGCGAGGCGGCGCCCATGTTTTGGTGCCGCGCGTCATGCCCGACTGTTGATCCGTTGCGGGAGACTTTGGCATGGGAAGGAGCTGTTGTGGCGCATCCTCCTCGGAGACCAGCCATTTGAGTTCGCTCAGCTTGGGTAGCTGCTGATCGTTGAACTTGGAGATGAGCTGCAGGCCGACAGCCTCCGCAGTGTGCGACTCAATGGCATCCGAGGCATTCACTTGCTCCGCATATGGCAACTGGGCCAATGTTTCCGACTGCATCACAGCATTGCTCTGGCGGATGGCGAATGGGTTTTATGAGAGTGAGAGAGAGAGGAATGTAGAGTAGTGGGCTAAATAGTTACCGCTTCGTTTGGAGGTAGAGTGCGGCGCGCATCCTGTCGTGTCCATTTCACATGCTCGATGGCCGTAATGCACGCCTCTGAGATGCGAAAGTGCGCGTTCTCCTTCTCCAGATCGGTATTGTTGTGCGTGTAACGCGACATTTGCAGGAATGCGGCCAGACTTTGGTTATCGAGCTTGCTATTGGATTCGCTGCTGAGGCTCCAGGAAGTCGAATTGGCGGTGGTGTTGCTGCCGGCTCCAACAACATCAGCACCATCCCCAACACTGCTGGCCACAATGTCCAGAGGTCTGCTGCTTGTGGTGGGCGGCAAGGCGGCCATTTCTGCTGCTGCCGCCGGTGTCGTGTAATCGAGCATGCTGACGGCTGCATCCTCGAAGAGACTCTGTGTGCGTCGTGTGCGCAGCTTTTTGCCATTCACCGGCAAAAATGTGTCTAGCACGCTCTCCGCACAGTTGACGACCTCCATGGACTTGGCATCGCAACCGACGCCCGTTCTATACCAACTCGTATAGATGGGCGGCGATCCGAAGAGATTCGTGAGGAAATTGTTTAGCGGACTGCCGCGTTTTGCAGCATGTGGTCGCCGACCCTTATCGGCTTGGGGTATTTCTGTGGGTGTAGTCGTTGTGGGCGTTGCGGCCGCTCCTTGATCTGTCCAGATCTCGATTTCATCACAATTTATTAGCTGTATGCGCGGTGGTGTGGGCGTCATGGTGATGCTGCTGCCACTGCCACTGCCGCTGCTATTGCTACTGCTGGTGTGGCTTTTGTAGCCATCGTTGGAGGAGGAAAGCTGACTGGAATCGGAGGACAGTTGACTGCGACGACTGCAGGCAGAGGTGGAGGGCAGCAAATCGTTGGGAGCGATGCGATCATCGGCACCAGGACTTAGCCAGCGCGCACACGGACTACTATAGGTCTGACGACGTCGCTTGGCCTCCTCCTCCTGCCGTTCCGTTCTGCTGCCTTGGCTGGCCCGATTGCCCCGCCAGCCTTGTCCGCTGCTCAGCATGTGCGTATCCAGCTGTGGCAAGCTCTTCACACGCCGAAACTTGGCCACTGGCCGCTGTAGACGGCGACTCTTTAGCGCCCGTTTTCTCTTCGCCTCGTCGCCTTCCTCCTCGCGCACCACATGCAATCGGGGCGAGATGGAGAAATTGGGCTGCGAGCTGGTGCGTCGATGCTGCAGCTGCTGTGTCAGCAGCTGTGTGTCCAGCTGACTGAGCAGACTATACTGATTCAGCTGGATGGCCGTGAGGCAGACGAACAATGCCGTCGCATACCGGCTCTGGCAGAGAAAGGCCACACTTCGCTGATAGTAGCAGTCGAGCAGCTCCTTGTCGGCCACCAACGATTGCAGGCACTGCGACAGACAGCGTGAGTGCAGGCAGCGCGTCACCCACTCACGCAGAAAGTCCCCAGCCGAGCGTGACGTCAGATGCAGTGCATCCCCAAGATGCTGCTGATGATGACGATGATGCTGCATTTGTTCGGTCACTCGCAGAAACTCAAAGTCGTCAATCAAGCGTTGCAAGGCATCGCCAACAAGCTGCGGATTTCAAAATACAATTACAATTAATGATTATGCACACAGCTCTGCCTTATCAGCACAGAAATAATAAAACACGCCTATCCAGCTCTCGGCGGTTTTCTGCTTACCGCGCTTTGTTTGAAGCCGTGCTCCAATATATTGCAAATGCTTTGCGTGAGCAGTTGGAACTCATCGTCATCATCGTCCACATTAACATCATTATCATCATCTTGGTACGCTGTCGTTTTTGTTGTTGTTGTTGTTCTTGCTGGTGTGCGTTTGGACTGAAACCAGTAGGTAACAGCGCCTCTCAGCTCTGAGAGCAATGCCGACGATTTTGCCATATCTTTACATTTAGCATTTGTCGCTGTTGTTGTTGTTGCATGGCAAATTGACTAAATTTAAGATTACAGCAAAATTATATCCACTGCTATTGCAATTATTGTTTTCACTTCGCAGCCACTTTGCAATCGTCGTTGATAGCGGATTCTATCGATGGCGATAGTACAACGATAAATCGATATTTCTTAAGTGATGCTGCAATGCTATAATTTTATTTAACGTTTTAATGTGAAAATGGCAGAACATATTATCAACACTTACATACATTTTATGCATTTAACATTTATATTTCTTATATTTTAGTGCATTTTGCATAAATGGGATGGGGGTTTGCGTTCACTTCAGCAGACAAGTTTTAACATTGATATGTAAATAGTGTGGCACGATGAGGCATGAAGCAGCTGTATTTGTATTAAACAGAAAAAATGAATAAACTTTTAAAACAATTGCATTAAATTTATTCAGTTTATATAATAATTTTTAGTTGATATTAGCAGACAAACAAGCGTATTACAAAGCCACCTAGTGGCCGAACGATGAAACGACGAAACGCTAAAATTAATTTTGTACACGTTTTTTATAATTGATTATGTTACTCAGAAAATACTTAATATTTGCTCAGCTTGATTTGTAAGTGTTTTGCGGAAATTAATGAATAGTGACAAAATAAAATGTTGAAATGAAGTAAATAATACGAATATCTGTCACATGCCTCACCTAGCTGACTGCTACATAACACAAAGGTTGCAGCATTGCGTCGCATAGGTGGCGTGCTGCCAAAATTGTTCCGGAAGTGAGGATTACCCAATAGAATAATACAATTGTGTGTTTGCAGTTACACAAAACGATATTTATTTTAACTCTTCAGTTGTTGCTGTTGTCCTAGAATGCTAGTCTAGTGATGATCGATAATTACTTACTGTGTATCGGTACAAGCAATTCAAATTGGTTTATGATTGTCAACAAAAGGTGACGCTGTTCAGAAATTTGCACAACTGTAGCCAGTATTTTGTGTAACCAGTTTTAACTACCACCATTAGCGCATGTGGCTTGTATTTCTGTGTGGGCGTTCGTTAAATAGCATCCACAAATGCCATTGGCTGCTAGTGTGGCTGGCCTGCTAACTAGCTACTAATAAATAAATGGCAAAGGGGCAACGCCCCAACGACAAAGCGGCGTCTGTAATTCTGTGATTGTGGCTGTGGCTGTGGCTGTGACTGCGACGCAAACAGCGACAGCGACAGCAACTGCAGGTTCCCCATTTTGATGTCTGTCTGTTTTCCTGTATTTGTGTGTATATATATGTATATGTATGTATATATACATGTGTGTGTGTGTGTGTGTGTGCTGGCTTGTTTGTTTGTGCGCTTCGTTTGTGTCGTATAAGTGATGAGTCAATTAACCCAACATTCCTGGAGGCCACATATTGCTTTAATTAAACAGACAACTTTTTCTTATGCTTCTAATTTGACTTTTGGTAAATGTGCGTATATACATTTGTACATATATATACGTATGTACATATGCATGTAGTTTTAAGTGCATGTGTAACTGTTAATGTTTTTGTTGTTGCTGTCGGAATTAAATCAAACGCACGCACACAGACAGAGCAGACATATGCGACATTTAAAATTGTAAACAAACACATTCACTCTTATACTCGTATATATGTACATATTTACATTCAAACACACACACAGACATTCCAAGCTTATAACCTTGAAACAAAACTGCAACAAACAGCAAAAAGCACACTAGTATTTGTGTTGCAGTTGTTGTTTGTTTTGTTTTTTAGTTATAATGCTGCATTAATTACTCACAATTCATAATTTGATTACGAAAATAAGTTAAAGGCGTTGTCTTCTTGGGGGCGCCTGCAATTGCAACAATTTATGTTGCCTGCTTTAGGGCGTAAGTGCCCGTAACTGCTTCAGAATAAAAAAGCACAAAATAAATGCCAACAACAACAAAATTGTTCTCATCACAAAAATACAGTTTTTACTTAAACTTTAAATTATTTATTTAAAATTAGAATAAATTATTAAGGATCGGCTATATAAATTATTTCTTAGGCTCTTAGTATTTGTAACAAGTATATACAAGTAAGTATATTGTATTGATTTTTTTTATTTATGTATTTATATATATTTTTTTTTCTATTTTCTTTTGCATCGACTGCATTGCTTGTTGATGAAATAAATAAATAAAAATAAATATTTTCGAAATTTAATGGCATTTCTGTAATTGTTGCAATGATTTAGGAAAATTGTGCATTTTCTTTTCATTTTTTTTTGTTAACAATAAAATGTCTCTTATGGACAAAAATTATCCATTTGAAATGTTTAATTTATGGTATGATGCTGGAATTTGTCCACACTTTATAATCATCAATTTCCATTTATATATTGAAATATATAGTTATCGGGGCATACCGAGTCGGATTCGTTATTAGATATTTTTGTAATTTCTAAAGGTTAATTTATTTCTTTTGTTTTATTTAATTTAAGTTCTCTATTGTATTGTTTTTTCTTTACGTCGACAGCTTTGTTGGTCGATGAAATAACTAAATAAAATAAAGATAAAAATAAATATATTTTGTATTGCAAAATACGTTATCCATACACGAATAGATTATAAAGCTATATGCTTAGAATACAAAAAGGGCCCTGCTTTTACGAAACAAATTAAATGGGACTCTAAATTGTTCACAAATTTGGAAAATCTATAATCTATTAATCTAAAATATTAAAATACTAAAAATATTAGGCAGGTTTCTTTTGTATCCTTATTAGCGTAAGAGACTAAGGAAGTTAGTCAGCTCGACAGTCACTCTCTTAGTCGGCCAGCTAGTTAGTTAGATTTATTTTCAGAAAAGTTAATGGAAAGTGAGGGTAGGTCCTTAGTGATGCGATCATTTTCTCTAGATGGAGTCTTTTCAACTATCGAGAAGTCTAGATGTGTTCCAGAAATTTCAGATCTTTCTGTTTAGATCAACGGTTTAAGGCCAAGCTTCGTATATCGATCGGCATAACCTTCAAGCTATGATGCTACTTAGTGCTGTGATAAACATTTTTGCTTGAATAGAGTCCCTCCAGAAGGAAGGTAAGGAAGTGTGTTCGAAAAGCTTATAACTTGACAACTTCTTGGGACTGGGCATTAAAATTTGTGTCTGTTTTCATGGCCAAGTTAAGTCCTTCTTATTGTGGCTAAGTCGCTGACTATTAAGGACTCTCTAGTTACAGGTGACTAAGATAATTAATACAAAAAATTCCTTCGATCATCCCCCGCCTTTCTGTATGGCTTGTTAGAAAGACCTATAAAGAAGTTGCCTCTTTGATTTCAAATTTCATTGCATCGCACAACACAATCGAATCGAGGTTGCACATTCTGGGCATTGATAGATCAGCAATACGATCTCTGGCATTCGGCTTGCAACTCGACGTTTCCAGCTCGTCGCTTTCGATCATCAGCTTCGTATCGAATGTCTGGGTCTAGAGCTCACCTCTCAGCGTCTCTGTGTCTATGGCTATGGCTGTCCAATGATGCATGCACAACAATTGGGTTTCCCTTCTCTACCACTTATAAGTACATTTGTACTTCTCCTTCGCCAGCACCTTCCATTCACATTCAGAGAAGCGCAATGGCGTTCTCTCAATCGCACGCTTCGGCGCAGTTCAATTCGCTAAATTTCACTTCGGATTTCAATTGGGATCGAAACGCAGCATCCATCCAACCATCCAGCTATTCAGGAATTTGGCGGCAACGCCCAAGCTGCGCAAGTCAGAAGTCGATCAAGTGTGCAACGTTTTTAAAGAACAAAAAAAAAAAAAAAAAAAAAAAAAAAATTGTAAAAAAATGAAGAGTAGAAAATAAATCTAGCTTGAAATTCTCAATTGATGTTTGCTCGACGGCTTATTGCGGCGAAGGAAAATGACGAATATTGTATTTGGAAAACTCGCCTTTTCATACACTACAGCAAAAATCTTAACAGGCATATCAGTACAATGAGTAGCTCTGTAACAGATAGAGGAAATCGAGAACTGAGATCAACTGTTTGTTAACTCGACTTTTAATTTTCTAGGATTTAAATTGTAGGTTATATTTATTTAAAAAAAAAACTGGAACAAATTCTTTCTTGAGATACATGTAGTTTTTTAACCATTTTGTGATACCAAACATAATTCCAATATTTCAAATACTTGTACAATTTTATTTTGTGCGATTTCCTCTGATATTCAAATGCGAACTACATTTGATTTCTAACCATATACTAGAGACGAAAAATATAAGATATTGTTGAATGGCAATGACTTACAAAAACTGCACAATTAGCGGCACCTTCCAATAATTAAATAAAATTAAATAATGAATTTTTATGTATAGCAGGTTGTTTTTCATGAATTATTTGTCTATTAGTATGTAAGTGTTGTTTTCTCAACATTGTTCCTGAGATGCAATCAAACATTTTCCAAAGCATAAACAAATCCATCTATCCATCAAATGTTTTCCATTATGTTAGTCTTTGTTGGTGAATTTTTTGTTGCTTAATTTTATTCTTTCAACTTAATATCGCCTTTCAGAAGTTAAAGTTAAAGTTTTCTTTACTTACATCAAATTCTCTATATGATTAATTCACTAAAGCGCTATGAAACAATGAGCATTTCTTGCCAGCCTTGATTACGTTTCGAAAGTAAAACGATAGCAATTCCGAATTGTTCTTAATTTGGTTTTTCGTATTTTCCATTTCCGAATGCAGTTAATTTCGCATCGTTTTCACTCCGATTACGTAATAGCTGTTTTAGTTTATGAAACCGCAAAACATAAATATGAAAGAAATTCTTTAGGCACCTAAAATGTCTTTAGTTATATTCGTTGCGGAATTGAAGTTAGAGGAGTTGGAAATATGCGAAAATTGTTCAATCAATGAAATGATGAAATGAAATATTTTCTCGTATATTTTTATGAAAATAGTTGTCAGGTGAAAAGCGCATATCATGATTAAATTGTTTCTTATTCCATTGTTTTTCGGAAATCCGAGGGTGAAATCGGAATCGAAAATAGTAGTATTAACTGTACTATCATATAA